TCTCAAAGACCTGGGATCGATTATGAAGAAACATATTCTCCTGTTATGGATGCAATCACTTTTAGATTTTTGATGAGTCTTACGGCTAGTCAAAATATAGCAATGCGTCTAATGGATGTTATTACAGCATATTTATATGGATCTTTGCACACTGATATTTATATGAGAATCCCGAAGGATTTAAGATGCCAAAAACATTAAGTTCTAAACCTAGAGAGTTATGTGCAATAAAATTGCAAAGATCATTATACGGCTTAAAGCAATCTGAACGTAAGTGGTATAATCGTCTCAGTGAGCATTTAACTAAAGAAGGATATGTAAACAATTATATATGCCCATGTGTCTTCATCAAGAAAACGCCGTCTGGATTTGTTATTATTGCTGTATATGTCGATGACCTAAACATTATCGGGACTAAAGAAGAGATACAAAAGGCATCTGATTATTTAAAAGGGAGATGAAAGATCTCGGACAGACAAAATATTGTCTTGGTCTACAAATTGAACATTCACTTAAGGGTATATTTGCACACCATTATACATATACGAAAAGAGTGTTGAGTTCAGCATGGACAAAGCTAAGTACTCCTATGGTCAGATCACTAAATGTTGAAAATGATCCATTTCGACCTCATGAAGAAAATGAGGAGATACTTGGCCCTGAAGTGCCATATTTAAGTGCAATAGGAGCACTCATGTATCTTGCAAATTGCACTCGGCCTGATATATCATTTACAGTTAATCTTTTGGCAAGATTCAGTGCATCTCATACGCAAAGACATTGGAATGGGATCAAACATGTTTTTCGCTATCTTCAAGGAACAATTAATTTAGGGTTATTTTATCCTAACAACTCAAACGGAGAAATGGTTGGCTTTGCAGATGCATGATATTTGTCTGGCCCACATAAAGCTAGATCACAGACTGGATATGTATTCACAGTTGGAGAAACTGCTATATCATAGCGATCCCAGAAACAAGCACTTGTACCCATTTCCTCAAACCATGCTGAACTAATTGCTCTCCACGAAGAAAGTAGAGAATTCGTTTGGCTAAGATCAATACGTCAATACATACTTTCAAGTAGCGGGATCAACGTTAGTTCAGACCTAGCCATCTTATATGAACACAATGCAGTATGTGTCGCTCAAATAAAGGAAGGATACATTAAAAGCGACCGAACCAAGAATATTCCACCGAAGTTCTTCTCATATACCCAAGAACTCGAGAAGAATAAAGAAATTGAAGTGAGATATGTTCGATCTTGTGACAATGCTGTAGATCTCTTTACAAAATCACTACCCACTACGACATTCAGAAAACATGTCTACAACATTGGAATGCGTCATCAACAAGAACTATGAAGATTGTCTATTCGAGGGAGAGTTTATGAGTTGTACTCTTTTTACCTTACTATGGTTTTTTCTACTGGATTTTCCAAAAACGGTTTTTAACAATGCAACATAAAACACGCAAACATATTAATGATACTGGTCTCCAAGGGGGAGTATTACAAATGTCAAAAGATAACGTGAAGAAATGAAAATGGAGCTCATTCCATTAATAGTCACATTAATATTTGTCTATAAATTTTGGCTATATAAGAAGATGTAATACGTTGTAATGAAAGTACCCTTTTTTGGACGAATCATAAAACCTCTATCTTTCTTGTTTTGGTATACTAACTTTTCTTCTTCATTTCACATAGTTTTCTATTTACTATAATAATGATCTTCATAATACAAAATAAATACATTTTACGTAACATAATATAAAATAATATAATATAACTATAACAAACCCCTCATTTTTGCCCGCACCTAAACTGAAACCCTTAACTAATATGTGGTTGTCGTAGTTTTTCTTGAAGACTTCGTTTTATGGGTTAATTATCACGAACATCTTTGATACTAAATTAGCATATAGTGTTTTCATAATTCATAATAGTTTGACATGCTCACAAGTATATTTAAACTATGATATATGTATTTTAAAAATTAAGAGTTACAAATTAGAATTACAAATTTTCAAATGATTATTTGCAGACCCTGCTTTGAGTGTGCAAGCAGTGAAGCACATGACCTTTTAACAAAATCTTTTAAATTTCTATGAGATTTAGGAGGTGACTGGAATGAGATGTAATTTTATGTTTTTGACTATATAATTTAAGTTACAGATTTGATGTATCTTTTTAAAGTATTATTTTTGCTTTCGAGATAATATTCTCTACAGTTACATTTTAACTTTTTAGAAAATATTTTCCTATAAAATTTTCTTTAAAAAGGAAAATTTAGATTTGTTGACATATATGGACTTCTAAACATAAATTTTGGTTATCTAGAGCATTTACAGGTACAACTAATTAATAACCCTCTTAGGGATCAAGATTTTCAAAGAAAAAGTTCTCAAAAATCTATAGAGACCTACATAAATAGACTTATTCTTGGATTTACCTCTAGATCCACCAACCAATAGAATTGTGTTATTTTATATTTGATATCTTTTAAAAAACTTAAAGAAATAGATTTATTAGGTTCACCTCTAGGTTCACCAACCAATAGAATAGTGTTATTTCATGTTTGATATCTTTTGAAAAAGTAAACAAAATCTTGTTAAATTATATTATGTTTTTAAAATAAAAATAGAAAAAATAAAGAGAAATAATCATATTTACAAAAAACGAAATTTAAAAAAAAAATATTTTAACATTATATTATGTTTTTAAAATAAAAGATAAAAATAAAATAAAAAGTAATAATTACAAAAAAACAATTTAAAAAATTCTTTTAATATATCTTTAAAATGAAAATAAAATATTGTTACATTATATTATGTTTTGAAAATAAAAAGATAAAAATGAATAACAAAACAATATAATTAGTTAGTATTAATTTTTTTGATTTAATGTTTAAAAGTTTTCCAATGGGTTTATGATTTATCCAAATGTTTGGGGTTTAGGATTAGAGTTTAGGGTTTAGGGTTTTAATGTTAAAACTTTTTTTTAAAGAATTTTCGTTTTTAGTAAATATTATTATTTTTTATTTATTTTTTGTATTTTTATTTTAAAAATATAATATAACTTAACAAAATTTTATTGGTTGGTGAATTTATAGATTCATCCATAATCCTAATCTTAGGAATGAACCCAAGAATAATTCAAATAGAGTTATGTAGACAAATGTGTAGCACCACGAAGAAACGAGCAACCATAAGCACGTGTCAACGTAAATTTGTAAAACAAAAGTTATATTTTTAAGCTATTTGAACCACAAATCTTAACACGTCACCACTTTTGACATATTGATTTATCATTAATTTAAACAAAAATTTTAGAGGCCAGTTTTCATATGTGGCACAGGGTCCAAGCTTGAGTATTTGTTGCAGATTTCTTTTTTTTTTGAAAAAGTGCAGATTTCTTTTTTGGATTACATGAAGCCAAGTCAAAGTCTTCAATTCTCACTTGTCTAAAAAGCCAAGTTTTTTTTCTCTGAAAAGCCAAGTTTATAACATGTAATATTCATTTCATCACAAATGTCAATAAATCATGTAACATAACATTTCTTTTCTTTTGAGAAAGTAACATAACATTTCTGCTTACATATAATTCCAATTGAGGTAGCCACATTGTTGTTATTCCAACTTTCTTTATTTTGATGACCCCCTAAATTAAGAATTAAATAAAATAAAATATACGACATGACTAAACATAATGTTTTCGGTTGAAATATTATGGTTTGATAATATGTTTTGTAAGGGAAAAAAAGAAAAGTATTAAAGCTTGTAAATCGATTGATATACTTTACATGCACTATTTAATTTTCATTTTGAATGGTAATATTCAATATGTTTCTTTTTTCATGCAATACGTTTGACTTATAATCAAAACTATAGATTTTGAGATCTATACAGTATATAAGTGCTCTGATGACCACATACACATACTTGCATTAGTGCTTAGGAGTTGGTAAGAATCCGTTTTCTTTCTCAAAAGTCTGTTGACTATTTTCTTCTTGAAATGATAATGACGTCAACATTTTAAATTCAATAGTGTTTATGCGTACATTTTTTTTTTCTGAACTTGCAGGTGCTTCCAAAGTTTCGAAGAAGAGAAAATACCTCGTATATAAAGGTAAACAGATAGCTGACAAAAAAGGTTAACAGCGATATCAGTTTTAGAATGACAAAGAAGTATAATTAATTTTGGGTCAATTTGTGAGTATTAGTATTATCAGTTATCACACAAGGTCGAAAAAGTTGTTGGTGGATTTGAATCTGTCAAATTTTATAGAGGTGAAATTTATCCGGATATCAATTCCCTGTTACCATATCTATAGATTTAGATTCATAGTTTAATAAATATATGAACTAGTTAGTGACCCCTCTGATTCATCTCTGTACGACCTTATACAATAGGATTAGGAGTCGATGTGTTTCATGATTGAGAATGAAAGAAGTTTTTGTTTCAAGAAAAAATGAAAGAAGTTTTGCAATGCCATTTTCTAATTTTCGGGTTCAACTTGGGTTCTTATTTTGTGATGGGTTTGTATAAACACTAGAATATGCTGTAATTGGCCTTCTTTCCACCTTAAGTTTGATGCAAAAAGTCAGTAAAACAAACGACAATTTTTTTTGGATGGACCTTGTGTTTTCTCGGAACACGGCTGATGAAATTTTTTAAAACTTCCCTTTTGATCAAGGTGTGCTGATAATTACATGGAGTCAGATCTAATTGTGTTAAAACTGAAATAAATGCTAAATTGTTGTGCTTTAATGCCAAGAAGGCTTGTTAAAATGTTTTTCAAACTGGTTTTTAAGTGGTTTTTCAAAGGAGGTTTTTTTTAAGGTACAAAGCCCTTTGAGTCTTTAACTGGTTGTCTAGCTACAATAGAAATAGACAATAGCTACTGGTTATGTTTTGTATTGTTTCATTTATGGCTTATTAATGAATTGTTTTGTATTCTCTTGCAGGTTAACATACCGTGGACGGGAGTGCATTGAAGCATGACAAACACCAACCGTGATGAGTTTAAGAGTACCAATGACAGTGAGCTTCCTTGGATGGCAAAAGGTAGCAAAGGTTCAACAAGGCGTGACGAGAAAGCTATTGTACGAGTTGCAGGCTCAGGTGTTGAGAACGAAGACAAGAGTTCATCAGGCACAGTAGCAAAAGAGTCAGAGCCTGGAAAGGTTTTAACTCATTTCTTTTGTGTTCCTCACGGTCTCATTATTTTGATATCTGATCCTGTCCTTTCTGTTTATTACAGATTCAAGGTCAGCATGTGGCTGAAAGAGTAGGGCGTGTTCCAAAGAAGAAACGGAGAAACATGGTTGCCTCCCCGTCACGAAGAATGTCATCTGGTCGACGTGGAAGCTCAGAACATAGGCCGAAGATCAACCGTGTTTCGAAGTTAAACCCAAATTTAACTGATGGAGGATCATCAGACGGTTCTGATGCAAAGAACAATAGCAGTGTTCATGACTTTTCTGGTATTATTTTACTTGCTGATGCTGCTTGTAATTTGAGCAATGATCTTGCACCAGCTGTTGACCGTCTGTCTGCTGAAGAACCTGTTGTTCAGCAGCAAGATGCCTCGACCATATTGGCCTTGGGAGGGATGATAGCAGCTAATAAGGGAGAAAGTGAAAGTGAAAATTTAGCACCTGATAGTGGAGCTGTCACCATGTCTGGTGAACCAACTGAGAAGAAGAAAAGCCTCAAAGAGGAGAGGTTACACTGGAACTTAAATGTTTCTATGGATGCTTGGGGTCCACCTTATGATGCAGGAGATGATGTCTCTGGAAAAGATGTAGAGGGAGAAATCACAGAGTCAATGTCCCCCAAAGAGACCAAACCTATTGATGCAAGTAAGAACCATCTAGATGGGTTGGTTGCCTCAGATGGGCAAGAAAAGTTTTCATCACCATCTGGTCCTAAGGCTAACGCAGCTGTTAGAAATGGTAATGAGTTCCAATCTGATTATGATTCCCAGCCTGAGGACGGAGAGTTGAAGGAGCAATACAGTTGGGGAGAAAAAGAGATTGAGGATGGAGAGATTGAGCCAAAAGATTACGGGTTAGAGGCAGAGGATGAAGGATTCTACTCTATTTCTGAAAGTGATGACAACAAGATGGAGGATTCTGGTAAGAGAATCATGGCAGAGACCAAGTCCGGAAGTGACATAGAGAAGAATGTTTTGGTTTGCATGAAAGATTCGCATCTGAAGAAGGGGTCTTCTTCTTCAAGGAGGTTTGCGTCAAAACCATTTAAGAAGTTTCCTTCACATGATGATGCCATCCCAAGGACAAGGCAAGTTTTTTTTTTCCCTGGCTTTATTTTAGGTCATCTTACTTTTAATAGTTCTTTTGTAACCCTAGTAACGGTTCTTTTGTTTCAGATCTGATGATTACAAAGAGTTGAGCATGGGTCCATATAGGTTATCTGGAAGAGATGAGAGGAGTTCTGGGAGAGGATATTTTCGTGGTAGGGGTTCCAGACCTCGCAATGTTTTGGAGTCTCCACATCCTAAATGCATGATGGGCGAGTTTGATCAATCAAGGTCAGGGTCCGGACAAGGATCACAACCTGATGGTTATGCACGTAACCGATTTTCGAATAGGGGATACAGCGGTAGGTTAAGAATATTTCCAAATGGTGGGGATCGTGTATTTAGGGGCAGGCACGGTTATAACAACCAGTTTCCAGGTCGGATGCACAACTGGATGAGTGGTAATAGGAGAGAAAGAGGCAACTCTCCGGTCTTTAGGAGATCCAGAAGTCGTTCTCCAGTCCCGTGGAACGTCCGAGATGGATTATCTCCTCCTGATGATGAGTATAGAGGAGACGAGGGGTCGATGGAGAGTGTGAGGTTGCCTTCCCAGAAACGGTTTTATGAAAATCAAGAAAAAGGTTTCATGTCACCTCCAAGAAACGAGATGTCGTTGCCGAGATTGTTTGAAAGGAGGAGCTATGATTCTGGTGAGAATCATAATAGCTTCAGGGAAAGGAAGTTTGGGCTTGGCCAAAGACATGATGCTGGAAGTTCTTCGAGAAGACTTAATTCTGAAAACCGCAACAACTTTATACCATTTAGACGCCAAGGAAGATTTGATGGTGGGGAAGATAGCACTGGCGGAAACAAGTTTGAGATGGGGCAGCAGCAAACTAGGCGGGATGAGGTCACAGAAGATGGTGGTGATGATGTTCCTCCAGGTTTTACAAAAAAGAGTCGGAGGGTGTAGCCAACAAAAACAAGGACAGCGACAACAAAGAGGGTAATAATGATAACAAAATAACGTAAGAAAACCTTTTAGGTTTTTTTTTTCAGTAAAACCTCTCTCTTTTGTTAGTTTTGTTTTGTTTGTTTACTATTTTCATTATTCAAAACCTGTCTAATTGGAGGAGAAAGAATGTCAGACAATTTTTTTTTTTGCTTTTACTTATAACTCAAATGATGTTTTGGAATTTGAAAGCGAGCTTTTTTTCTTCATTTCTCCTCTTGTCTTCGGGGTCTTAGCCTCTCTTAGGGTTTGTAGGAATTTGTTCATTTTAAAAAAAATATGGATCTTCTATATTTTGTAGGAAAAAAAAGAAAATCTTCTTGCAAAACATCTTTCTTTTTGTTTACTATTTTGGCATTTGAATTTGATTTTGTCAAAAAGTGAAAAACCAGTGAGGGCAAAGAGCAAAATAACGAGATAAGACAATTGTGAGAATTCCACTAGTGTAGGTAGCAGCAATTTATTCATATTAATTACATGCATAGGACTTGAAGACTTTAACTCCAAAAGCAGCCCCTAAAAATGTACCAATGGCGATCCCAAATATTCCGATAACAATTCCTGGGAGTATTTATGAGCTTCGTCCTTATTATGTATCCATTCCTGCAGGCTGCGGCAGTCGTGCGACCTCGAACATTAGCGTTTGATGCAAGAAGCAGAAGCCTTATCGCCTTATCAGCTATCTTCATCAGTTCTCTTATTCTGACTAGGAACCCAAGATATGTCACAATTTGTAACGAAGCAAATAATAATATATATAGTTGCTCTTGTTTCTATTATTCTCCTTATGTTTCAACTTGCTCCCAACACTGAAAACCCACATGTTTTCCATTTATTATACTTAAATCAAGTTTAATTGCTCTTTCATATCATCAAAAATGCAAAAATGCTGGAAAACACAGCTCATGAAGAACAACTTCACCTCCATGAGAAATAGAACCAGATTGCTTCTCCAGCTGGCGCCGGAAGGTCAAATCACGAAAGAAGAATATTCGTTAAAACTGTTAGGAATGTCCTAAAATCATTTGTACTTATTCTAGTAGAAGTCGTAGAATCGAGGTTTGACGATCATATAATATTAGGCGATTTTAATGTTTTGCTAGAAACCGCTTATAATCTATGAATTGAGAATTCATTGCTAATATTATATGATCCTACAGGGTCACACCTAAGCAAACTAGATCAACAATACTTTGAATTCAGAAATAATGATATAAACTTGTTATATCTATGTGGTATTATTAACTTAATTATATGTTACATATGATGTAACCATACACGTTTTCTTTGTTAAATAATTATTGGCTTGGTCCATGAATTATATTAACTAAACCTAATTATCTTATGGTTTTGTAAACTCATATATGATGAGTACGTGAGACATACGGGGAGATGTGGAGCCGCATAACTCAATAACGTGAAAGACAAAATAGTTTGTTTTGAGATTTGATCTTGACGGCACTAGCATCCCGTAGTGATCTAGTTTGTATGCGTGTGGATACCGGTAGAGGCACGACGTTTGGAGTGCTTGAAATCTCGATTTGGTATATTCATCTTTCCGCTGCGAATAACAAGGTATATTCGAGAACCCTAAAGATCTAGATTTATTTTAGTATTTATATGAGATCTAGGCAAATAGAATTTATAGGTTGTTTTATAAATCGTTATAAACCGGTATAAATTACTACAAAAACAAGTTACCAAAATATACTATGAAAGCAGTTGAACTTTTGCATATATCTAAAGACAACTAATCCAGTGGCCATTTGTATTGTATCACATATATATCATCTCTGCCTTTGTTCATCATCACACAATCTAGCCATTTTAAATAACTAAAACATCAAGTTTATTGATACTGCTTATTTAAACACAACTTTGATACATATATATATATATATATATATATATATATATATATAAAGATCGAGTGCTTTTGCTAATACTATGTACTTTCAAGCTGCACAAAATTGCAAAAAGAAAATCAAGTTTGTGGAGTTTTTTTTTTATTATCTAGCCATTGTAAATAACTAAAACATCAAGTTTATTGATACTGCTTAATTAAACACAACTTCGATATATATATAAAGATCGAGTGCTTTTGCTAATGCTATGTACTTTCAAGCTGCACAAAATTGCAAAAAAATCAAATTTGTGGAGTTTTTATATTATATCATATGGATTATTTGTTACCTCCACCGATATGTCTTTCCATAAGAGCTGCTTCTATTTCGAACTATCAAGCGATTGCTTCGGTATCAGAAAGTAAGCCAATACTATTGACGACCGTTGTAGCAACCATTTTAAGTAATAGTAATACAAAAGTAGAGTTGTCAAGGTTTCAAAAAAAAAATGTAGAGTTATCAAAAGCAGAGTAATGTTTGGAGGATATATGAGTACTGCACATGATCCAATAAGAAAAGTGAAAAGAATTATTCTTTTCACTTCTGTGAGGTTTTAGGGTTTCTAGATTTAGTAGGTGCTGGTTTTTTTTTCAGAAACCATTTCAGTATTTGTAGAAAAATGAATTCATGCCAATTTTTTTCTTTTTTAACCATTTTAGAATTTGAATTTTATTGTCAGCAACTCGCAAAACTAGTGAGGATATAGAGAGCAAACGAGACAAAGACTTGTATAGATTCCACTAGTATTGGTGACAGAAATTTAAGTTCATGTGATTCCACTTGAACATCACATGAGCTTAAGGACTTTAACTCCAAATGCAATTCCTAAAAACGTAGCAATGGCAATCCCAAATATTCCGACAAGAATCCCAGGGACTACCAACGAGCTCCATCCTTTTTCTGTTGCCATTCCAGCAGCAGTTGTGGGACCTCCAACATTAGCGTTTGATGCAAGAAGCAAAAGCTTTAGCTCCATCTTCATCACTTTTCCTATTCCCAGTAACACCCCCAGATGTATCACTATTTGTAACAAGGCAAATATAAATATGCTTGGTCCTGTGTTTATTACACTCCTTATGTTGCCACTTGCTCCTAACACTGCAAAAAACACCTGTTTTCCGTATATTCTACTTTCATCAGATTGAATTGCTCGTTGATATCATCAATAAGGAAAAAATGGTGAAAATATATAACTCTTGAATCTAGCATTTCACCTGCATGAGAACTAGAGCCATTGCTTCTCCAGCTGGTGCGAGATGGTCAAACTGAGATGGAAATATAGTTGCTAAAATAACAACTATAGCAGTAATTGCTGGTAAGTTACCACCCGAAATACCGAAATACTTTGTGAAAACAGTCGCAACTTTGCATATAGCTAAAGACACAACTATTCCTGTAGCCATTTGTATCACAGAGATTCTATCTCTGCCTTCCTTCATCGTCACACCATCTTACCATTGCAAAAAGAAAAAGAAAAAAAAAAAGAGAGAACAAATCAAGTTTGTAAGATTAGTGCTGAATCAAACACAAGTTAGGTGTATATTATCACCATCTTACCACTAATTTGCGGTGATAAAGATTCAGCAGGTATTTTAGAAGCTAAAGCAAACAATGTCATGAAATATAAAGCGCATATTACGCTATCAGCAGCAAGTCCAGCTGCTATTACTGAAGATGAAACATTGAGAGCATTCGCTATCGCAATGTAGTTTCCAGCTGCACATAAACAACAACTAAAATCAACCTTATAATGTCACAAAAATGTGCTTTAAATTGATTATTCGTTACCTCCACCAATATGTCTTCCCATAAGGGCAGCTGCTATCTTCCAACCATCAGAACCAAGCGATTTCATTGGTACCAGAAAGTAAGCCAAAACTGTCCCAACTGTTGTAGCAACTGTTTTTATAATAACATAATTAGTGGTTAGATAAAAGCAGAGTAATTAATGATCATATAGATAAATGTAGGAGAGGTGAGTATATTCTACATGATCCGATAAGAAAAGCAAACAGAAGTTTTCCTGTAGACTGGATCACACGGCGCAAATCTGCTCTAAACAAAAGGAGAGGAACAGCTAAAGGGAGCAGGAAATTCATCATTACAGAGAAAGCAGGAGACTCTGAAGAGATAATTCCTAAATTGCTAGCTGCAAGCCCTATCAGTGTGCTTACAAGTGCACCACTCATTGCACTTCCAATTTTGGTCTTCTCTGACCTACAATGTTTGAAGAGAAAAAGATGTCAGTTTTTTCCAAATAAGTAAGTTAAATTGGAAGTGTCACTTCTTCCAAAACACTGGGCCTTGCCCGACAGCACACAGCAACTATAGCCTTTAGGCTTGTGATATTTTTATATTTCCTACATTAAATATGAAGGGAAATTACACCCTATATACATACAAAAAATCCAAATGCACAAACTAAAATCCCCCCCCCCTTCTCCTATTTTTTCTTCTTATCTCTCTCTATTCCCTCTACCAAAATCTATTTTTTTTTTCTTGGTTATTTGGCAAAAGTTTCAAATATGAATGCCAGTTTACAAAAAAAAAAAAAATCAAAGCTAATTAGTCAACATGGGTTCACCACTCTAGTTCCCATCTCTTTCCTCATGTGAAAAGCATATATGGTCTGCTTTTATTTTTGTTTTTAACATTTGGAACTGAGAAGCATAGTTGATCAAAATTGTTACGTACCTTTTACCAAAAAAATGTTACGTACCAGAGACCGAAAGTTCCAGTGGCAAAAAGTGCAGTCCACATCCCCCATTGATCATTAGGAGAAATGAGAGGCGTGCTTAACAGCGATCTCACTGTAACCGATCGTCTCGGCGATGATACTTCCGGCCTGACAAATATCCCACGACAGAACCGAGATGAATGCGATGAAGGAGAGGAGCTAAGGGATGAAAAGACTTCTCGAATAGAGAAGACGTGAGAGTTTTGGCGGGAGACAATGTTAGGTCGTCGGAGAAAAGTTTTGAACGACGGAGATGGGATGGAAGTTACATTCAAGAATGGCAGAGTCTTCACCATGTCGCAGAGCCAGCCAGTGAAAGA